TTTTTTTTTCTTCTCTGTCCTTTGGAAACCGAAACCCAGTCGGTTTTTGTTTTCCGATTTTCATATCTTTCGATCCGTAGATCGGATCAATATGATTCCTTCGGCAACGTTCTAGATCGTGTTACAGGCTACGTCCTAGTATTCTTTTTATAATTTTTTTCTTGACTATCGGAGGATTTAAGAACGCCGGAAGTTTGCTCACCGTTCTCGGATGACCCTCGGATCTCTGCCTTTGGGTTGAGGTCTCGGCCAAACTTCTTCACAGACCGTGCGTGAGTTGTTCCTAGGTGAAGATTTCAACATTTTAGGGTCGATTCACGTAGGGGAAAACTCAGATCTGAGCAATATCGTTCAGAAACCTTACCCCGCGAAATGTTCTTAGGCTTTGATGGTGCGTAGGCCTTGATAGCCCCTCAATCCTGGTACGAGTCTCGTCTGGAGATGGATTCCGGCGGTGGTCCGTTAATCTTCCCGGCCGACCTCTCTCTAACCTCTCTCTAACCTCTTCTTTCTTTTGCAGGCAATCTGGCTGGATTCTCCTTGGACCCCTATTTGGGTTGGAGGGGCAAAATGACATTTTTGCCCCTCAGTTGACTTAGCCCCCGCCTTTTTTTTTTTTTTTTTTTTTTTTTTTTTTTGCGTTACAAAAACAAACTCCGCGGATCACCAAACGTGCCTGGCAACGCTCCCCTTGATCCCTCAGCCTCACACCTGTCTTCAGCCACTATTGAGAAGACTTGCAACAGGACAACAAAGGGAAAATTGAGAGAGAGAGAGAAACCAAAATTCTCTAGCAAACTAAACCCATGCATCTGACTCTTGAACTCATCAATCCACACCGCAAAAGTGATTGTTGATCTTAGTATGTCCATCCAAAGCAAGCGTACGCACAGCGGTCACTCGCTGCCGTTAGAAAAAAGAATCTGGAGGACGAGAGGATGAGAGGTTCACAAAGAGATAAGGAGAGAAAACGGAAGAGAAAAGACGTCAAGAAACGTAGCAGAAAGGAGAAAGAAAAGTCACTGGAAAATCACGCTGCTGAGTCGGGCGAAGAACAGATCTGGGTATCACGCCGTAGTCCATCTACAGTGGCCCATGCCGCAGCACCTTGACCTGCAAGCCCACGACCCTAATCATCAACAATAGTGACAAAAAACAACCTAGTTTGTTTTGCTAATGGGAAAATACTACGGTTATGAGTAAAAAATATCATTATTAAGATGCAATTGCTCAGCTAGAAATTTAAAACGAGAAAAAGAAGGATGACCTAAGCATAAATGCCACAAATTTGATGACTGAGATACTTGTTGAGCTGAAGATTTGATTGGAGATGGTGAAATATGATAGAGACCTCCGAATTGTTTACTTGAGCCAATCATCCTCTCCGTAGCCAAGTCCTGCATAACACAAGAATCAGGATAGAAGGTGACATAACATTTCAAGTCATTGGTAAGTTTGCTGATCGACAGTATGTTTAAATTGAATGATGGCACAAATAAAACGTATTTAATTTAAGGTCAAAATTAAAGGAAACATTACCCGTATGTGACACATGTGTTGTCCTTCCATTAGAAAAATTTATTATAGATATGGTGGAAGTCTTTGGTTCAATCATAATAGAAGCTTTGGATACTATATGATCCGTAGCTCCACTATCGAGAATCCATGGATTAGACTTTTAGAGTTAACTGATAATGAAGATACTGGAAACAAACCAACAACATTGATGTTATTGTCAGAATTATTAGAAGGACGACGATTGAGTGCAGATAAGGCTTGTGCTAACTATTGTAATTGCTCAGAAAAAAAATTTAGAATATAATTAGGTGACTGTTCTTCTGTATTCAATAGAGAAACATCGGCAATATTTGCAGATGAACGATATCCACGATTGTTGCGTTGATTGACTTGTACTGCCCTTCCATAATTATTTCTCTATCGACATCGAACTTCTGTATGTCCCCTTCTATCACGAAATTTACAGTGACGCTTAAGGATTCGACACTCATCAATTGTATGACCACTTTTATTGCAGTGTTCACATGATTTGTCCTTGGTGAATTTTGAATATGTTGTTTTCTTCTGCACTGCTGATGCAATCGAGAAATTCTCAGTAGGTTCAGAAGTTACCTGACGCTGCATCTTTTCTTGTACATGTAATTAAAAGGCTTGCCTCACATTAGGTAATGGAGTCAATATCAATATGTTAGATCTCACCGTTTTATAAGACTCATTGAGCCCTATGAGTAGATACATCAACTTGTCTTCTTCGCATTGATCAACATGTATATGACATTGATTACAGGTAAATGATGTGCGGTATTATATCATCACTAGCCCAATAGAGTCAAGCCCTTTTATATTTATTTTCCTAGAGATTTTAGGAAAGATACTAGATATTTTAGAAAAGAGATCTCGATGTTTTAGGAAAAAGATTTACATTTGTTAGGTTTAGATTAGGTAGTCGACCCTACCTAGTATTTCATCCCAGGAAATCACAAGCAATATAGAGTAGTAGTATTCAACAAAGTGTCTTGTATTCTCTTCTCGATTGGTCTTAATAAAGAGTGCGAGTGTTTCCCACAGAGAGTTGTGTTCAACAATCTGGTATCAGAGCAAGGTTAGTATAGGTTGTCTGATCTCTTGGAATTCTTAATATGCTCTGTGGCTGCAGCCCTGCCTGATCTTATACATCTTAAACGATTTCTTGAGATTATTAGTGAGTGAGTTTCTTTGTGTCATGAGTAGTCAGTGACTCTGCAAATCTTGTGTCGAAAAGACTTGTTTGGTATTATTGAGGTATTGTAAACACGATGGGTGACTTCCAAATTGTAGGAGGAATTAAGAAACTCAACAACAACTACTACAATACATGGGAAACATACATGATGTCCTATTTACAAGGACAGGATCTTTGGGAGATCATTGGCGGGAGTGAAACTATGTCGTCAGTAGAGGATTCTAATGACGACTTGCGCAAATGGAGAATCAAAGCAGGAAAAGCAATGTTTGCCTTGAAGACCTTAATCGAAGAAGAGATGTTAGAACATATTTGGGATGACAAGACACCGAAAGAAGCATGGGACACGTTTGTGATGCTGTTCTCCAAGAAGAACAATACGAGGCTACAACTTCTAGAGAACTAACTATTGTCAATTTCACAACGTGACATGACAATTGCTCAGTACTTCTACAAAGTCAAGATGATCTGCCGAGAGATCACTAAACTAGAACCGAAGTCTGTAATTGGAGAAGATCAAATGAAGAGGATCATTATCCACTGGTTGCGATCAGAATATAGAAGCTTCATTATTGCTATGCAAGGATGACCCACTCAACCATAACTTGTAGAGTTCGAAAATTTAAACCATGGCTAAACAAACGGGAGACATCACATTAAAGGGTGAAGAAAAAGCACTCTACACAAGTGAAAATCAGGGAAATAATAAGTCATCTACCAAACCTGGATACAAAAATGGTGACAAAAGAAGAAGTCATCAAGGAACTGCACAACCAAAGAGAGCTCAGAAGAATGACAATAGGAGTTCTCAAGGAAAGAGATTTGAAGGTAATTGCTATAATCGCGGGAAGAAGGGCAACATGTCTAAAGACTGTTGGTCTAAGAAAAAATTTGGCAAAAACAATATGGCATTCTCCAACATGGAGATGGAGGAGGAATGGGATACAGAGGTACTATATGTCATAGAAGAAGACGAGCTAGCTTTCATGGTGACGATGGGAGACCATATCAATTATGAGAATGACTGGATCGTTGATTCAAGATGCTCAAACCATATGACTGGCGATCAGAGTAAATTGCAAGACAAGAAAAAGTACAAAGGAAACCATATGGTACGCACAAGAAATAACGCACAGTTTTCAATTGCTCAGATCTGTAATAGGATAATCATGCCTTGTAATAAATCTAATACAGTGTCACTACATAATGTTTATCATGTACCGGGTATAAAGAAGAACTTGTTGTAAGTGCGACAACTAACAATATCAAGAAACTACGTCTTATTTGGGCTAGAAGATGTAAAAGTGCATCAAGATGTTAAGATAATAGGAAAGCTAACAATAGAAGAACGAAGAGCGGAGTTTGTTTACATCCTATCTATAGAGTCTTCCTATGTTTACAAGACTCGAAAGAATGAGACGACAAATCTATGGCATGCATGATTGGGACATGTTAGCTACCATAAGTTGAAGCTGATTATGGAGAAATCCATGCTCAAAGGTCTACCTCAACTTGAAGTCAAAACAGACGTTGTTTGCGCTGGATGTCAATATGGTAAAACTCATCAATTATCATACAACGAGTCAAGTTTTAAAGCAAAAGAAACAATTAGAGTTAATTTAATCTGATTTGTTTGGTCCAATCAAATAAGCATCGATCAGCGGAATGCGGTATATGGTGACGTTTATTGACGACTACTCAAGATATGTGTGGACTTTCTTTATGGAAGAAAAGTTTGACACGTTCTCAAAGTTTCAAGAATTCAAGACGATGATCGAAGGAGAAGTAGGAGTGAAGATTCGTTGTCTACGTTTAGACAATTGCGGAGAATACATGTCAGATGAGTTCAATCAATATTTACATGAGTGTGGTATACGATGCCAGTTTACATGTGCTAACGCGCCACAACAAAATTGTGTAGCAGAAAGAAAAAATTGACACCTTGCAGAAATCTGTCGCAGCATGTTAGACGCAAAGAATGTTCCAGGAAGATTTTGGGCTGAAGCTATGCGAACTGTTGCCCACGTGATCAACAAGCTTCTCCAACCAAAGCTAGGATTCGTCTCACCATGTGAGATACTATGGGACATGAAACCTACAGTTAGTTACTTCAAAGTATTTGATTGTGTTTTCTATGTATTTATGCCTGACCATCTATGTAGCAAGTTTGACAAGAAAGCAGTCAAATGTATATTTGTTGGATACGACAATCAAAGGAAAGGATGGAAGTGCTCTGATCCAACAAGTAGAAAATATTATACATCAAGAGATGTAGTTTTCGATGAAGCATCTTCATGGTGGTCCTCGAAGAAGAAAGTCTTACCAGATTCAAACATTGAAGAAATTTTAGAACATATGATGGGAAAGCAAACTACACAAATTCAATCCAATGTTGATGTGCCTGAAGATCCAAGTGACATTGATATTGACAAGCAAGTGGTGACTAAATCAAGCGAATTTGATAAAAATCAAACGAGACATCAACAACTTATGCTATCAAATAGAATCCAAAGGCCAAATCCTAAGTATGCAAATGCAGCTATGTAGAAGATAGAGTTTACGAACTAGAGACATATGAAGAGGCATCACAAAACTCGGTTTGACAAAAAAAACAATGGAGGAAGAAATTATAGCCCTGGAGTTGTAAAGACCGGGTTGACTCGATGACTAAAAAAGGCGGGTAAATTTTTCTCGCTAAATAAAACCATTAAAATTTAAAACATTGTTTACATTATAATAAAAAAGTGCGCGCACATTACTAATTTAAAATACGACGTAATGGTTAAAACATAAAATAAGGAATAGACTCAAAATATTTTAAAACAAAAGGGTTGAAGATGATGGGTGAGGTTTGTCTATGGCACCTGCTCCAGAGTTCGCTCCCGATCTCGA